CCAGGGAAAAAAGTTACCCAGGAGTTGCTATTGGTGTCAGTGGTATATATGGTACAGCTCCTCTATAGGATTATTTTTGTTTAGCGAATTGGTTTAACATTTTCAACAAAATAAAAGAAAGTTTAGTCAAAAGATGTTAATTTATACATTGTACATGCATGTACATGTACTGGTAAGTTCACATATTTAAGTATATAGTTAATATTAATACAGCTACATTTTAACCATTGAAGATGGACTTTTATGAGGAAATGACTTTTTTTAAAGTCTTAGGATAATTTAAAAGTACCAGACACATACTTTTTATGGAAAAGGAAAAGGGGTCCGAATTATTTTTATTTTACAAAAGTTTTAGATTCCCAAGTCTTTGGTAGAAAGTTCTAGGGATTTTTGGAACGTCACTTTTAGTGGAAATTTCCTAAAGGACATATCATACAGTCGAATTTGTTTACATCTTCCTTGTCTAACCTGTGATAGGGCCACAAAGTCAGTCTAGAATGTTGACACCGCAACCTGACCTAGATTGCGCACATTTGTTTAAGGGGATTATAAAAAAGTTAACTTGGCACTGCGCCAATAAATGAAGTCTGCCTCTATGCATTTATAAGTTCTCGGTTGGGTAGCCTTGTGAAAAGAGAAGATGGCTGGAGTGTGTGGTTGTCTGCTGTTTCTGCTCCACTTAACCCTCATGGGTCAAGATTTTTCAAATGATTTTTCGTGTGCTACAGAAAAGGAGCAGTGTGGAAGACTGTCAGTCAGTTGTGTAGAATATAAAGCCTAGTGTGGTATCTAGGTCAACCGCACCACTTGGCAGGTTTTTATAGAAGACAGGAAACGCAGCTCAGTGAGGAGCATTCTGTTGTTTGTCGGTCTCAGCAATGTGACAATAATACCGCAGTGGATGTTATCGAAGTAACGCTCAGCAGATCATGGGTTTTATTGCAGGAAGTGCTATCATCCGAAATATCCATTTTGTCATTTTGCCAAAAACATTTATCCAAATATTTTTCAGAACTTGTGAACACCCCCCCCCCAAAAAAAAAATAATAATAAAATTAATAATAATAAATAATAAATATATTGGTAGATAAATAAAAGGAAATGTTTAAAAGAAAATGCTTAATTACCACTAATTCAGGTACAGGGTACATTTTGAAGCTTCATCATTTTCTTGTTTTTTTTTTTTTTTTTTGGTGATAAAATGGGATTTATTACATTTCTTTGTATTGTTTACAATGTACTTATTGTGGCATTTTGAATCTCATATGAAGAGTTGTTATCCCTGTAATAAAAAGGAGTCATAATAATTATGACATACTAGTAGTATGAAAATAATAAAAAGAAGACAGAATGGTGGATGTTCAGCTGTCTTGTTTTCACTTGACATTTATAGTATTTAACCTGGTTTGTCTCTGAGTGTAGCACTGAAGTTGTCTTTATAAACAAAGTATGTTTTTCTTACAATATGAGCCCTTCACAGGAATGCTAACAGGCTAGAAAGAAAAATTTTAGTGGAGAGCTGGCGAATTGGAGTATTCCCTCTTTTTATTGATTTTAAATCTTCATTTGACTAGAGGAGGGAAAAAGCACCTTTGTTATGAATAATATTATTATAATTACATTGTTTCATAATTGCATTGTTTCATAAATTTTGCTGCCAAGAACCCAGTGCAATGCCATGAACTTTCAATTTATTCCATTTAAACAAGTTTCTGCACTTTGGATTACTGTTTAAAGTTTTACACATGATTACATAACAGTATTGAAAAAATAAACCTCAAAATAAGGAAACTTGTAACAAACTCATTGACTTTAGGCCCTCCAAGATAGGAAAAAATAACAAACAAGACTGTCAATCAAATGTGTCACCATGAAGATATAAATTGTGTAGATAATTGACATCCTGACACTATTTATAAAATGGGAAATTCAGGATAGCTGATTTAGGTGCCAAGTTGTCAGAGTGCGATTGTGGTATTTTTGATATATGATGCCTTCGGGCATGAAAAGCTAAGTGGGCAGGGTTGGAACATTATATGGCTTGGGGGTTGTCAGGAGGGTTGATTCAGGGAGGGGGGGGGGTATCACCAGTTATTAAGGCACCATGGTTCATCAGAGCAATAGGAACACATTCAACTTCACTAATTACCTCACAATTTTTGGTCACAATTTGTACATACTTTTGAATTAAAACTAGCAAGATTTTGAACTGAAATCCAGGAATTTGTCTGAAAAAGTAAAGAAATTTAGTAGAAGTTTCTAGCCCCCCCTCAATGAAAATGAAAAAAGCTGTTTTGTTCTTAGGGACTTAATTGCAGACTATAAAGATTACGTGAGGATAAAAAAAGTTGAAATTCACTAAGGAAATCACATTACTTTGGCCAAATGACTTGATGAATAATTTGCCTCAGTGAATGCCCCAATCTTCAGAGGCTGGATGGAAGTGTATTTTATACTAGATTACATCTTTCAAGATAGAATTTACACTTAGTTTTGAAATCCACACACCTGGGCCCCGTTCTTTTAAAGTGGGCCCTATTGCTAGTATGACTAATTGACTGTATTCAATATGCTCAGGTGTGGCCACCTAAGTGACTTGATTTACCTTGTCATTGTATAATCAACTGTTTGTATTCAAACAGTGCCTGTAGCATTTAGATAACGGTGTTGACTTTTATCCAATAGCTCTACCCCCCTCTGAGTTGCTTTTACAAATATTGACGCAGCTAGCCAGCATACTCCTCCTGTGTTTCAGAGATTGATTGCTTTAGATTAAACCTTGAGAATGGATTTTCCCTGTTCTAAGACCCATTTCCGTTCATCAGAATTTTCTCAACATTGGTTACATGTTAGGGAGGTGAGATGAAGAGTGGAAATTGATAGAAAAAAAAAAAGAAAATGATCCACTTCTGATCCTTTAAATTAAGCATGTTTTTTTTTTTTTATCTAATGTGTTTTTCAGACAGGAAGATGCAATTAAGCCCAAATTGGTCCATTGCTATATATATAGTTAGCTTATCCAGTATTGAATTATTTTTATTTTTATATAAAAAAAATTGATTGATTTTGAAGTAACAAAAATAACAGAAATTAATGAGATGGAGGTGGGCGGTGAATGAAAAATATGGAGCAAAGATGGCAAAGAAAGAAAGATTCCACAATCTTAAAATTCACTGAAACTGACCAAAGGTGACTCCAGGAATATCTATCATATTTAATCCCAAAACATTGATACAGTGACAGAGTAAATCATGTTTTTAAGATGCCAGTTTAACTCTCAATAGTGTTCAATAATGTAGGACATTGACTTCAGTAAATACCACAGGAGTCATGAACCATCCCAGAATCCCATGATTTCCAAGAATAACCAGCTAAGCATGCCCACCCCAAGATGCAATAAGGAGATAATGATTGAGATTCTAAATCAAGGACAAACGAACTCTCAGCAAGCTTGATATTATGAAAAAATATGAATGTCAATGAAAAGCTTACCCCAGCTATAATGTTATATGTAAATTTTCTGACATGAAAAAAACATTTTTGTATTGTACTTGAATCTGTTATGCCTGCGAATTTTTTCAGTAAAAGTCTGTGTTGTTACTTTGATTTGCTTGGTTTAAATTAGTTATAGCTGGTGTCTTATTACTTATTACATGATTACGATATTTCCACAAGTTCATGTGTAATATTTTCTAGCTTTATCATTAAATATTTCCTAAGAATATTTGTTTTAATTTTTGGAACATTTTTATTGGAAAATTTCTGCTTTGAAGAAAATATTAATTTCTGATTCAGGAAAACTTATCTGGTATGATCAGCCAGACATGTTAAATTGGCATAAATTTTGTAATCAAGGAAAGATGTACTAGTGAAAATATTTAAAATTTNGTATCATAACCAGAACCTTTCTTTTACCAATTTCCCCCCCCCCATACCTTTTCTAGCATACATTTTCATATAGGTTATAGGTAGCTAGATCTAGGGAGATAAAAATAAGATTCCAACGAAATGAGTGGGCAATAGTGACCTGGCACAGGTAGCCAGAAGTATCTTCCCTTTCATATTTGGTTTTCAATGGAGGGATATCAAAATTCATAGAACTAGATTTAGAACTACATACATAAAATTATATAAACTTTCTCCCTATATGTAGCTGTACTAAATTTATATGTGGTGTATAGTCCCAAGCCTATCCTAATAAGACAGTAGTGATAGTAGTATTTCTATATAAAAATATACCTTTTACCCCACTCAAGCAGAATAAGATCTGGGCTTGAGCTGTGTACACCAGTCTGAGGAATAAAGATACGTGTTATAAAGATACGTGTTATTTTTACGTGTTATATTGGCGGAGAACCACAAGGGCAAAAAAAAAAAAAAAAAAAATGATGAAAAGAGTATCCCCGAGAAATAGAGCAGCAGCAGAAAGTACAGGGAGAGAGACAGAAAGCACAGGAACACCAGTGCTGCAGGAGACTGCACCTCAGGCCCAAGGAGTAGTACAACAAACTCCTACAAGGGAGGAAGAACAACAGGCTACGGCAGCAGTTACTGTAGAACAAAGGCAACTGCAGCAGCAGAGTGCTGAAACAGAGACTGCAGAAATACAACAACTGCTGCCGCTGCCAACACCACCACCTGCTCCTCAGATACCCCAGCAACAAGCCACGCCAGCAGCCGGCCAG